AACATCTGACTGAGCAAAGCCTAACTTACACAGTGGTTTGGAAGCCACGTGTTGAAAAGGGCTGTGGAAACGCAGCAGGGAAAATGATAAAAAGGGATGAAAGCAGCTCAGATGGGCAAAGAATGTTGATTTTAAAATGCAAACCATCTGAACGCTGACGAGTGGGCAGGTTGCAATAACTCCAGGGCAGACCTGAGCTGCACAAAAGGAGAGCTCTCACAGGACATCTCCTACAGTGATTTAAAATTGGAACTGGGGGGTGTGGGAGGGACATCGAGGTGCTGCAAGAAAGCAATTTTGTAGCAGCAGAGTGCAAGTAAGAAACTGGTCAGTTGGAGAAAAAGCTTTTCTCCATGTGGTTTGTGTGAGCCAAGCCAAATGCGTTTGGAGCACAGGGTTATCACACTCATGATTTTCTTCTCCATAGTGTATTAGAAATGAATGTATTTGCAATGAAATTGGGTCACCCAAGTGTGACATTATGCATCCTCTCTCTGGATGCTGCCTCGAGTCCCAGAGTCAGCTCGGTTATTTTTTTAATGTTTTAAGCTTTGTCTAGATAAAATAGGCTGTGTTTGGAAATGTGATGCTGTGGCCTTGTGCTCCCAGGAGGAATTCCAGCGGGAATGCTAGCCTGAAGTAGCCCTGCTAATCCCACCTACGGCTGGTTCTTGCCTCCACACTGGGGTGAGCAATCTCCTCGTTCACGCTGAAGCAACTGGATGTGTGACCACACTGCGGGGGATAAAGGGGCTGACCCAGTTAAAAAAATCAAAACAAAAAACCTCTAACATGTTTTTCCCCACTCTAACCCCTTTCTGTGTGAATTTTCTGGTCCAGTTTGTAATACACCAGCCCCTTAGCAGAGGTGTTGGCAGCCCCGGAGGCACGGTGCAGGGACACCTTACTCCAGTGTTATTGCTGGTTTCAGTGTGAAAACACAGCCTTAGTTACAGTTTCAGTCTAAACTTGGCACTCAGCTTTGCTATGCTTTAGCAGCTTGCAGAAAGATGATAGCACTGTGGTTTTGGTCCCTCCTGAGGGTGAGGTGTAAGCAGGCAGTGTGTTACCGGAGGTGTGTGAGCTGTGTCTGCTCCTGGGATGTGGTGTGATGAGATGGTGGCTCCTGAGGCACGGGCTGCTGATGAAAGCCAAGCTTGCCCCCACTCACATTCCTTCTGATCACAGCTGACTGGTACAAGTGGCTCATAGGTGCCACCAGTGAGTGGTCATTGAAATGATTTGGGTTAGAGAGAAAACTCCAGAAGAGGGGGCTTATTTTTAATTCAGCTCAAGTGATCTCTCCCTGTGTAGTCCATTGAGTTACCATGCTGGGGTGAGTGACAAGGCTCATGATGGGGCAGGGTCAGCCTTTGTTCAGCCAGCTTGGCCACTGATGCCCCCACCACTCGATTAAGCGAGGGAGTTCATGTAAGGGTGTAGTGTACGTGGTGGTCCAGCAATGTGTTGGTGTGTTTTTCTTGGAACACAGCCCCCTCAGTCAGACTTGACTTCATTTTGGACTCTGCATCCCTCAGTTAATGCACAAGCTGTCCAAAATCCATAGGTATTAGTAGAGCACAGATTTCCAAGTCTAGGTCTGACGTTCCCTACCCACCCTCTTTGTGTAAATCTGTCATTATCCTAAAGGCATGTATTTAGTTAGTTGTGCCATCTGTCCCCATTTTGGAAAATTAAAACTCCTCACACCTTAACATGCAGAATTCCTTCCTGCCACCTCAGTGTGCATGCAGCATCCACAGCAGAGGTGCAACAGTGACTCTTATTCAAGTCTGATCCTGAGCAACAAATGATGTAGCCCACTGATGCTGTGCAGACTCACTGGTGTGATGCTCTCCCCTCCTCCTCCTTGATGACATCCAGAGAGCAGCACTATCCTTTTCAGGCTGTGGGCAGAGAAGGGCTGTCCAGCTGAGCCTTTCTGTGCCTTGCCTGATCCCTGAGGCTTGCTCACAGTTCCACTGGGTAAGGACTTTCAGTGGCAAAAGAGAAGACAGCTAATACTTTCCCCACTGTGCATACAGCCAGGCATGGGTTTTGCTTTTGCTCTCTTCATGCTACACTTGGTATAGCAGAAGCAGGGAGGCACATGATCTCCCTGAAGGCAGGATCCAGTGTTACTGTAGAAACTGGCCACCAGCTTCTTTTGTAGCTAGCAGCTGTCACTGTGTGGTTGCAGCCAAAGCGTGTCACTCCTACAGTGTCTGCAAGCTCTGGACTTTGTTTGTGCTTCTGAATTCTCCATGCTACAGCTTGGAGATTAGTTCTGCACCTTCTGTCGGAGCTTCTTAAGGTATTTCTGAATTGCATCTATTTTTAGAACCATTCTTGATTAATATTTGATGTTTTTTTTTTTTTTTTCCAGGTTGCATTTTTCTTCGCCAGTACTTCAAGGCACAGAGGAGCTGGTAAAGGCACTGCCATGAAACCGAACTTGAAGCAATGGAAACAACTCATGCTGTTTGGGATCTTTGCATGGGGTCTGCTTTTTCTGGTGATATTCATCTATTTTACAGATAGCAACACTGCTGAACCAGCTCCGAGTTCCTTCTCTTACATTGAAACCAAGAGGCTGCTGCCACTCCAGGGCAAGCAGAGAGTCATCATGGGAGCCATTCACGACCCATCATTCTCTGAAACCATCAATGGGAATGAGGTGCTTCTTAATGAAGACCTCTTAGGTACCTTTAAATCAGGGACTGGAAGTATTAAGAAGTGGACTGATTTGGAAGATGCCTTTAGAAACGAAGAGGAGTTTTTTCCATCCCAGATAGGAAGAAAATCAAAAAGTGCTTTCTACCAAGTGAACGACGATTATTTATTTGCTGCTGGTCAGCCTCGGTCACACAACCACCTCCAGGAGATAGCAAAATTCATCTCAGCCAACGAGGATAATCCAAAAGTAAACATTCTACAGAACAACTGGAGCCATCAGAGAAGAATGAGGAGAAGGAGCGCAAGACACAGGAGAAACCAGATGCTCGATGACTCTGATGACTGGGATGGGCTTTATTCCACCATGTCAAAATCCTTTCTTTACAAGCTTTGGAAAGGGGACGTCTCTTCCAAGATGCTAAACCCTCGACTGCAGAAGGCAATGAGAGATTATTTGAGCACCAATAAGCACGGGGTGCGGTTCAAGGGGAAACGAAACTCCAAGCTGACAGGAGACCAGCTATTCTGTGAGCTGAAAGAGAGGGTGCATGTGAGAACAATAGATGGCAAGGAGGCTCCCTTTTCCACTCTTGGATGGGAAAAGCACGTTCCCCAAATCCCACTGGGCAAATTGTATGCACATGGCTTCGGGAGCTGTGCTGTGGTGATGTCTGCTGGTGCAATACTCAACTCCTCTCTAGGGGATGAAATAGGTGGGTGAAGTGTATGTGTTTGTGTATGGGTGTGCTCATGTTTGTCTTGCAGAAGGTTCATTATTCTCAAGCATAGGTCAGTATAGTTGTGTTGATCTCTCTCAGCAGCTAGTTAGATGAATGTGAGTGTATGGACCTCAATAAAGCTGTTCTCTTTCAGGACTATCACTGACAGGAGAATCAGACCTGAAGTCATCATTTGATTTGAAGAAAACAATTGTCTTCTTTTCATATTACACTTTGTAGTATAAAGGTGGCACTGGTTTAACCAGATCTACCGTATTTGATGTCTTGCTGCAACATATGTTTATTTCTGCAGCAGATTAGAGCCACGTTCAGGTTTTGTTCTGCAAAGCTGTGTTGTACCTGTCTGTATTTTGTGGTGGCTCCTAGAGAAACTTCTTGTATTGCTGTCCCAGACTGAACTTTGTCTCCATGCCAAGAAGCATTAGAGCATCCTCTTCATCACTGGGACGTTGAGAGTTCATAGACATCTAGAATTCAGACCCCTGAGTAGCTTCATGTGCTGAGGGCAAGTCTCCTGACCTCTTTTGCAAGACTAAATTTAAATGAGTCCAGGTATCTGCATCCATTGTTTTTCCATTGCTGCACTGAGCCAGTGAGGTTGTAGATGTGCTGAGATGTCAACATCACACAGAATTCCCCACTTCAAGGCAGAAAGTGTGTGGTAGCCATTCAGAAAAAGATCATGGACCCATAAGACTAATCCAAATTAGTTTTATTTTTTCTTTTCGAAAATGAATGCTTCTACTCATTCTAACATCTCATTAATTCTTCATTTTAGTAGTACACATGCATATGCTAAGAGCACTGAAAGGAGGATGAAATGTATGCCTCAAACTTGCTTCTGGAGCAGGAAGAGTTACCTCCTTTGGCTCTCCATAAAAACCTTTTGATGTTCACTCATTAATCCTCCCATATTCCAGTGCTTCACATCCCAATGCTTGCTTCATTGCACTGTATCATGTCTTTGATGGGAAGGGTTTCCTTTAAATCTCTGTGATGTTAGATCTGCTATAATTATTAAACTACTCTAATGTGCTTCCAGCACAGCACGGGTGCCTGGCCAGCCTACAGCTAAAATCACACCAGGGTAACCCCTAATTTCACAGGAAGCCCCAGTGGTTTAGAAAACTTTGGAAACTTAAAAATCTTCAGAACTTAACAGTTCCTCCCTTCTCCAGCATGTTATCCTTGACTGAAACAAACTCTTCTGTTGGTGTTCCCCAGTACTCAGAGTTTACACCATTATGGATTAGTGCTGTAGGATCCATAGCACATTGTGACATATTTGCATAATTACATATTCCAGTGTGCATCATGCCACATTTGCAGACTCAGGTGCAGCCCAGGTGTGGACTTTGGTGTTTGACATGGTACCTGGGGCCCGTATGCTCCTGTGTGTACCCATTTTTTTGGGAACACTCTGGGCACAGAAAGCTTATGCCTTCCACTGAGGAAGGGCTTGTGATTTAATTGGGAAATTGTCATCTGAAGCCATTTAAAGGGAGGAGGTGCTGTTTGGTAAAGCCTACAGAGAAGTTTCAGGTCTCCTTCTACCTATTGTATTGGAAAGTATGTGGGCAGCAAGGAGTCACTTTTTCCAGGTGTCATCCAGGCCATTGGCAAGTACTTGTGACTGAGCAAAGAGTTTGGTCCAGAACTGTAGGGGGGCAACTGATTGCTTATAGCCACCCCAAAAAGGCCTGGTGTAAACCTGTGGGTCTCAGTGGTCAGTGCAGTTCCTGGGAAGTGCTGCTGTACTGGAGACGTTGTGCTAGTGTTTCACACTTCAGATGGAAGCTCCAGCATCTATGTCATTGTTCCCATGGGGAAGAAGTGATGCTTTCCCTGCAGAGTCCAGGCAGCATGTGTTCCAGCTGAGCTCTTGGCCCTGCCTTTCCTACTCTACTCATGGCCATGCTCTACTCTAGTCCTTGGAAAAAGTGAGAAAAGCCTGATCAGGAAGAGGAAGATCAGACTGTACAAGATGCTCTTCTCCCCCATGCTTGCAGGCCTTTCCTGCTCTACTCATGGCACTCATGGCCATGCTTTACTCTAGTCCTTGGAAAAAGTGAGAAAAGCCTGATCAGGAAGAGGAAGATCAGACTGTACAAGATGCTCTTCTCCCCCATGCTTGCAGAGCTGTAGGATAAGACTTATTTTCCAGAGCTGGCACCAGAGGCTACCAGCTCTTGGCTGAAAACACAAGCAAACCTGCCAGTTTGGAAGCACCATGGGTGGCTGGTGGGGCTGCTCTATGGAGTCAGACTTGCACTCATGCTGAGCATCTCTGTATCCACAGAGACACAGCAAAGCCAGCATCGTTAGGGAGTGTGCAAAAACACCCTGTGCATGAGCTCTGGGCTTTGGGCCATGGGCCCAGCCTCGGTGGATGAAGTTCCTGCAGGCAAAAAGCTTTTACTGCTTACCCTCCTGAAAGAAAAACAGGCATAAGAAAGCAGCAGCAGGCTTTTAGCTTGATAGGCCTGTGGCTCCCTCTTCTGTGGTTCTGCTAGAAATGCAGACAGAAATGTTAATTTGACTCTTGCCCTCCTCCCTGCCACTTCTCTGATTGGTTTTGAGTAAGACTAGGCATGGAATCACTCTGCAAGTACAGCAAACACTCCCATGGAGATCATGCTATCTAATGGGAGACCAAATTATTTTAGCACCATCAGGAAGTAACAATCTGTCATCAAACCCAAAAGTTTTCATATCATTAAAGAGGTTATCTCCAAATACTTTGGTTTTAAATCAACTGATTTTAATCTTGCTATTATCAGTGTTAAGGTGTGTCCTGATCATATACTTTATGGTGAAGGAAAGGCTTTTGGTCTGATCTGTCATCAAACCCAAAACTTTTTATATCTTTAAAGGGGTTATCTCCAAATACTTAAGATTATCAGTTGATTTAAAAACAGCTATTTATCAGTATTAAGGTGTGTCCTGATCATATATTTTATGGTGAAGGAAAGGCTTTTGGTCTTGATATGAAGAACCAGCATGTGTGATGCTGGGAATGGAGCACACCATCTCTCAATTAGGTTGTGAAGTGTACAGTTCCCATTTCCTGACCCAATTCCCATTTCTCCATCAGCAGATCGTCAAGAAGTTGTCAAAAGCAGCTCCAAATTTGTGCTTTTTAATTCATAATCAAGTTTGAAGGATGAAGTACCTTTGATTTTCTTTCCTTTCTCCAAAAAGGTGGCGTACTTGCAGCTTCTGTTGACTTCTTGTCCTCAAGATCCTACTCAATCTAGATGCTTATGTTTATGCAGATGAAGCCTAGGTATTGAGGCTGGGGTTGGCCCTGCATAGAGAGATAGAAAATGCCTCTTCTCCTTAGCTTCTGAAGAGCTGGGCTTGGTGGACATTTGGCAAAAATCTCTTTTTTTCAGACACAACATGTTCAAGCAAGGAAGTCTGGTTGAGATTGGATGGCTAGCTACATGTCCCACATTTTCTTACGTGGAGTAAGGATGTGAAAGGATGGAAGAACCCAGTTTGATAGGATCAGGCCTGAACTCCATTGAAGCATGTTGGTTATCTGTGGAAGATTCTGCTTCCTCCATTTTTGAGCTACAGGCAATCACATTTTAAGTGACTAGAGATAAACAGCTGTATAAACTATCTATGTGTTAAGGCATTACGTGCCCATTTTGGTCTGAATCATATTTTCTGCTTCCATTTCTATATCTCTATGCAGGGCCAACCCCAGCCTCAATACCTAGGACCAAATAGGGGGCTGTTGATAAGGACAGTGTCTCTGGACAACGGATAGAGTGTCTTACTCTCCCTTGCACCTTTTGGGCTTTGAGATTCCCTTAAAAGAAACAATGGGAGGGCGATTATCTTTTATCCAGTGGAGGAGTGCACATAGTGGCTACCCTTGACCCATACTTGACCTATAGCTGTTTTCTATTCTTAACTCTGAGGTCAACAGCTCATGGGGACAGTTCAGCTCTGGCAGATCTTTGCTAGCAAGGGATCCCCAGCGTTCTGTGTGTGAGCAGGTTTGTGGGCTGACTTCCCTACAGAGACTTGTACTGACCTTGAGAAAAGTATATGACATGATTAATGGGTTTGGAGTAGTCCTGAGATTCTTCAGGTATTGTAAAATACTGTGGAGCACAAGCTTATAGTTAAGCCTTGTTATTCATTCAAATGTGTAATTAGATATCCTTGCAATTAACATGCTTTTGCATGGAGTAATTCTTTGCAAATTTTGCCATAGAAATAGCGAGCAATTGTGTTTACTGGATGTACTAATAACCTTCCCACACTAAGTTTATCCAATTAAGTGAAATATTTAAGTGTGGCAAGCTAAATTAATAGATGATTCTGAACGTTTTCCTAGTGGATTTTAATAATGTTAATAATGTATGGCAGATGCAAGAGGATTTTTGTTTGTACATACTTGAGTGTTTATCATCCTTAGAATATCAAGATTAGGAGAAGTGTCTTCAGTTTTGTGTTAGTTTAGATAATTTATTTATTTTGCTGTTCTGTATTACTGAGAAAAAGAAATTACCCCCTCATTTATGCTCCTAGATTCTCATGATGCTGTTCTGAGATTTAATTCTGCTCCAACGCATGGCTATGAAAAAGATGTTGGAAATAAAACAACAATGCGGATCATTAACTCGCAGGTAAGATCTTCCTTTCATGAGTCCGAGTGAACATCACTCCTGTACAATGTGACATGAAATGAATAACTTCTGAGAAATTGCTGGTTCCTCTTGGAAACTGCTAGTGATTTAACAGCGATGATGCAGAGCAGGTGGAAGTTCTCCCTTGCAGGGATGTGTACGCTGCTGTCAGTGTAGAGTGATTGCAGCAGTTACTCAATATCTTTGTTTCAAAGAACTGTTTGTAAAGTTTCTGAGGTGTCCTACATCTGTAAAGGCTCTGCAGCATGCCCAGAGCCATCAGTACCAAAGACCTTCACCACACAGCCTCCAGGATCTTCTCAAAGCCCGGGGTGGGTGTGGGAATCCCAAAGCTCTTTTCTCTTATTCTCCAGTTCCCCAATTATTTCCTCGCTGGAAGGCGAAAGAAATGAGAATGGAGTTGTCTTAATGCATAACTTTAGGCAAGTCATCATTCTTTAAAAACTTGGAATAAACTAGTAAAAAACTTTAAGGCACTCCAGATACTACACGTGAGGTGAGTTTGTTCATCTGAGTGGGAACAGAAAATGGGATTTCAGCATATGTGTCAACAAATAATTGTGCATTGAGCTGCAGTGACACCTTATGGTTGAGAGTTGCTTTTCAGTTTTGAAGAAAACTTGTCTGAACTCCAATCTTGGAGAAACTAAGCCTCTTCCCTCTTTATGCAACACAGCCAAAAAGCAACAACAGAAATACCATGTAATTTCATCACTTATTGAGATGGTGAGTTTACTTGGTCAACACCAGGAGTATGTTTGGCCACGTAGCATGTTCTATACAAAGCAAAATTTTCATGAGTCTGTTTTTTCTTCTCCTATGCAAAGTCTATCCTTTGGGTGTGTTCTCCACGTGTGTAAGTTCATGTTCTTTGCCCCTGCAGAGAGGATTGTTCACTGTCATTCCCTTCACGCTTGCTTTGTAGCTCCTTGTGAGGCCACAGGGCAGACTAGGTCTTGGAGTTGATCTGGGTTAAATGCCCCTTTCTTTTGCTCAGAAGAAGAACACAGAAATATCTTACTCTGGCTTTAGTGCTGAAATCAATGTATTGGAGAACATTGATCTTAATGTAATTTATTTTACTTTTTGGGGGTTTGTTGGGTATTTTTCCTTTTCTTTGACTGGTCTCTCTTCTACCGAAACATCCTGGTGCTGACCATATTTGAGCTCCTGTGCTGGGCAAGGAGGAGGATTAGAAACTTTTAGTTGACTAGTCTCTGTAGGCTTCCTGTAGGAGAAGGGAGAAATGCCTCCAAAGGAGCAATCTGAGCTTTGGTAGCTCCCCAGTGATTTCAGGGAGACTAAACATCTAAATTAGCTGCTCTCCACTGCTCATGGCAGGCTGGGGTCCTCTTGGCTCCCAGAGCTGCTGTGTTGTCCTCCCACCAGGGTGGTGATGGAGGGTCCCATGGACTTCTCTGCAGTGCTGTACATTGCTTGCTCTCCACAAGGCCTCTCAAGAAAACCCAGGCCACTTGATGAAAGTTGCTTTCCCTACCAGCACTGAAGATGGGTTACCCACCCAGGTTTACCGACCATCCTTCCCTCCTCGCTGTTGGAAATTCCTGCATTCAGTTTATTCAAAGGCTGCTGTGGCCCTCTTCTTCCCTCATGTTCTCCTGTGAAAGCCCAAAGGAAGCCAGTGCAGCCACAACAGATATTGTTATTCCAGAAGAAACTCATCTCATGCATATGAATGAGACTCACTAAGTGCAAAATTTGTGTGGACAACCCTTCCAAAGGACTGTTGCTTACTGAAGGGCAAGTAAGAGCTCCTTTGTGTGATAACTGTGGAATTCAGCTTTTAAAAGCTTGACCTTTTGATCTGTTTACTCTGTACTCTCAAAAAAGGAGTTTACGTTCTCAGGCAGAAACTGCTCTGAGAAGTGGAGTTGAGGATGCTGATAGCAGCGTGACTAATTCTGTTCTTGTTGTAGAAGGCTGATGGAAAGTCATTAAGCTCAAAGTTTATGGTAGAAGGACTATTGCTATGGCAACAGTATTATTTTTCTGAAGAAAAATATGCATAATCAAATATGGCTCGTTGGATCCTAAAGGGGAAATGAAAATTAGTAAGAATTTATTTGTCTGGCATGTTGATTTATTCAACAGCTGAAGCCAAATTCACACTGTTTCAACTAATGTTGAAATCATTCCACTCAATCCTGCCTGAGACTGGATGCAGCAGGGATGAGGAAGACCTGGTTGGGTATTGGAGGGTTTGGGAAGGCATCAGCCAGCAGGAGTGAAGAGTAAACTTCCAGTGAAGCAGGAAAATCAGGCAGAGTACCAGGAGATATGAGCAGGAGTGATGTGAGAGCAGCAGGTCAGAGCAATCTGAGAGTTACTTCAAAAGCAGCCCTATAACATGCCTGTGCCTGGAATGATTTTTCTGGGCATACCAGCTTTTACAGTCATGGTCTAATTTGCCTTTTTGGAGTTACTTGAAATGAGACTGTCTTCCTGTTGAAATGAGAAGGCAAAGCAGCCAGAAAGGTGGGGGACACGTTATCCCTGGGGACTGTAGCCCTTCAAAGAAAGCTGCTCTGTGTGTAAGAAGAGAATCCTGCAGGCTGTCTGAGATATGTAGCTTTCATTTTCAGCTTCCAGAATACACTGTAATGTTGATATACAATTATGCAGCATCTCAAGTGGTCGCATCACATCCCTCACAGATGGAGAGTAATTCAGTGTACTACTACTTCCAGCTTTCACAAGTGCTGTTTATAGCCAAGCTCTTTTTTTATGTATTTTTTTTCCTAACAAAACAAGATGCTTAAAATCAACCAGAATTAAAGCAGAACAAACAGCAGTGTGGGAAGGACTGTTCATTTGAGAGAGTGATTTTGCCATTTTTCTGGATCCCACTTGCTTTTAATGCTGTGCCATTCTTTGCATCTATGTTTGCAGATTCTCACCAATCCAAACCATCACTTTGTCGACAGCTCCTTGTACAAAGATGTGATCTTAGTAGCCTGGGATCCTGCCCCGTACTCTGCAAATCTGAATGTGGTAAGATGTCTGCTTGGACTTTTCTTCCAGATCAGTCTGAAAGCACTGGAGGAATGGGATGTATATAGTGCTGTAGTCTCCTGGTTCTCACTTGTCACAATGAACCCCCAAATCTGTCCTCATCTAAGGAGTGGGGCTACTAAAAAACTTTCCACCAATAAGCCAATTGCAGAATTTCTGCATGAAATGGTCAAAATTGGTTTAGTGGTCAAAATTAGTTTATTGGTCAAAAGCTTTTTAGCAGCCAGCACTTGTGCTGGAATGAACTGTTCTGAGGTGCTAGTGTAGGTGGGTGATGGTTTTTTTGAATAAAATATTGGTGTTTTCACATAGCAGTGAGTTATCTGTGTGTTCACCAAGGAGAGAAAGTTGCTAGATTTCAGAAGGAGATTTTCTCAGGGAAAGCAAAGAACTGCATCCATTTTTCTCTGCCCTCCCAGACAAAATACAACATCCCCACGAAAATCTCTGCTGGCACCCTCCCTGTTTCTCAGGCCTCCTCCCCACCAGTCTTGCTTTGTGTTCACTCCCCCACGGCCATCTGTGCCCGGGCGTCTGCCCCCTCACCAAGAGCAGCAGACATCCATCTGGTTGTCACCAGGGAAGTCTCTGCTTCGGCTGGTGCTGCAGCTCCAGTGGACCAGTTGATCTGATGGTTCTTGGCAGGGAGAGCTCGGAGCTGGGCAGGCTGCAGAGTAGGAAGCAAACCTTCAGCTGCTGAAGTCCCTCAGCAGCAGATGCCGGAGGCTGCCTGCCTCCCACGCAGGGACGGGGGCTCTTTCAAAGGAAGGTTCACCCCTGCGCCCACATCTTGTGTCAGGGCTCTTTGAGTCCCTTGTTAAATGCAGGAGGAGATGGAGTTGGCTCATCCCACTGCAGCAGATTGCTTATTGGAGTCTCTGTGTGAGAGGGGAAACAGAACCTCCCAGGGTGAGGACTGGAGTTGTAAGAGAAGCATCCACTAGTGCAGGCTGCTTTGTTGCCTTCTCTTCTGAAGAGCACAAATTAAGCTCGTTCACATGACTGTACATGCAATGTTCAAAACACATTTGATATGAGAGGACTGAAAAAATTGTCACTTTTTCCCTGGCAGTGGTATAAGAAGCCAGACTACAATCTGTTCACTCCCTACGTGCAGCACCGCAGGAAGAACCCAACCCAGCCGTTCTACATTCTCCATCCAAAGTTCATATGGCAGCTCTGGGACATCATTCAGGAGAACACTAAGGAGAAGATACAGCCCAACCCTCCTTCTTCAGGTTTTATTGGTAGGTAGATTGAAGATGGGCCCAGGAGGCATTTTAGATTAAACCAAATTAAAAAATTGTCAGTGTGTTTATTGTGTGAGGATCGAGTCCATACACATGTGCTGTTGGTTCTTGGTGCTCTGTACAGAAACAGTGACTAGCAAAACACACAATATGAGAACTAGAAAACAGAATTTAATGTTCTGCTTACTTGCCCTTCATACCCACAGTGTGTGTACCATATTTATAAAACATCTATCTGTGAGAAATTTGTATTGTTCTGTATTAATTTATCTGTTGAGAACTGCTCTGTTCCAAAGTTCTTTGAGATCATAGAGCAGAGGGACATCAGCCAACAAGTGAAAGCCTATGGCAGATCATACAGGGAGATGAAGTCTCTGAGAGGCCCAGCTGTATTCCCCACACAGGTTAAGGAGTGGGATGTCCCATGCCCTGTGATGGCTTTCAGTCCTCGAGTCAGCAAGTGCATCCCTCTTCTTACCCTTGAAGGAGTAGAGCATCACTGGATATTTTGGTCCTTCTGTAGTATTTCTTGGGGGATAATTTGGCACTGTGCCCACAGCTCCTACAGATAATGACTTACCTGATGCACAGCAAGCCCAGATCCTGAATGTCTAAAGGATGCAACTAGTCAGAGTAGCAAGGCTGAGTCAGGCTCTTCCTTGCTTCTTCTGGAGACACAGTGGGCAGTACAGTTCCAAGTACCATCTTCCTCTTTGGAAAATCCATTCCTTCCTCCCTGACATTGTGATACTGGTCTACATATTTGATGCAGTCAGAAAATGCTCTTTTTATTCTTTTTATCTGAATCTCAGACTGAAGATACCTCAGATTGCATCTGGCATGGGAAAAACAGTTCTGAGCTTTTGGGCTCTGTGTACAGCAGTGGCATCTGAGACTGAAGATACCTGAGATTGCATCTGACACGGGAAAAACAGTTCTGAGCTCTTACCTTGGGCTCTGTGTACAGCAGTGGCATCTAAGGATATTGTGGAGCCCACCAAAGGCCTTGAGGAGGGTGCTGAAGCTCCCAGAGGGATTAACATAAACCCACCTGGTTGGGTTGTGCCTACTGGGAGCATGGGTGGAAAGAAAAGGAGGCCTTGTTGTGTTGGAGGAGGATGGCTTGGCAGTTGATTAAGTCTTGAAGTGAGATTCTTTGGACATGCATGGGAAGATTCATAAGGAGAGAAGACTGCTCGTTTGGATTCCTCTCACCAGCTGCATTCACCTTTTGCAAAAGCATCTCTTAGAGTAATTAAGTTGCTGATAAAAGGTTATCTAACAGGTTAATGCGTGCAGATTGTAAGAATATTGAAGAGGATCATTGTGCTGTCAGTCTGTACTTCCACCATATATAACAAACACTTCAAAAGCTTTCTTTGAAGAGGTGGAGTTAATTTGGCTGTAAGAATAGAACAGTTGTCTTCAGCTCCAAAATCTAAATGACAAAAAATACCCTTCAAGCAGAGAAAGCTTTGAAAATGTCAATTATTAAACAAGCACAAACATGAACAACCAGTGCTGTACAGATAAACATACTCTGTGTGTACAGAACTTGCCTCCTTTTCCTCTACTGGGAATTTTTTAGCTTCAAGAAAACAAGGCAGTAAGACAAGCTTATTTATCTACCTCATTGGATAACTAGCTCCTGTTCTGATAGATAGAATTAAATTTTTGGAGGGAGTAGCTTCCTGTTTTAGTAACCTAATTGAATGGATGGCTATGCATTGCACGTGTGATGGAATACAAACTGCAAGACAGCTCAGGAACTGCAACTGTGTATTGTCTAACGTGGACACAAAGGGCAAGATAAAGCACAAACAGCATAATGCAGCTTGGCAGAAATCCAAAAAGTCATGTTGGTCTTCAGATCAGGTATCTCAACAACTCATAGAACAAATAGTCCAGCTGGAACTGAAGCTGGCAGACACAACTGGGTGCACCTGTAGGAAAGGTCTGTTCTGAATATTCATCTTCTAGTCGATTTTTCTAAAACCTGAATTATTTCTTATAAAATTAATAGGAAGAATGGGTGATGGCCATCATAAAATACGAGTGTCTTAGTTTCAAGAACATAGGGGAGAATTGTTTAATAACTGGCCATACTGTTAACAGTGTTGTGCTCAGAACAGCAGTTTGAAGGAAGAGAGCTGTTGGTAAATAGAGAATATGAATTTTCACAGGCAGCGGGACCTGTGTCTGTGAATCTAAGCTCTTTATAGATGGACCAGAGTGATTCTACTCACTGTTAGAATAACGTGTAAAACTGTGTGCAGTGCTCTGCAATTAGAATACAGAGTGTGCAAGGATCTGGTTTGTTGGTATTTACACCAGCAGAAAGTCAGGCAGCCCTCTGTGAGCAGTGGTTCCTCAAATCACTGTTGCTGCCAGCAACATGGAAAAGGTTAGAAAAAGGGTTCTGGGTCAAGTGAAGCACTTTTGTTCCAAGCTGTTTAACCCTCTGTAACACCAGTTTAAAAAAAATTAGACAAATTTGTCAATTAAAACATGGAAGCATCAGATGATTTCATTTCAGGAGTGCCAGGAATATTTTAGGGTCGTCTTGAGACTGTTTCTTCAATAATTGCATTTTTCACCTGAAAATTTTATATATTTCTGCCACTTAGCACTATTTATAAGAAACTGAGTCTTCCCAAAGGGAGAATACTTGGTGGAACGTGTTCTCATGGTGTTCTTCTGCAGCAGTCAGCAGCCTTCAGAGGTGGTTGATGTCAGGGGAATCTTGTTAATAGCTGTATTAAAGGACTTAAGTCACAATATTATTAAGTTTCTTGGAACCTGTGGGTCATTTGTGGGGAAGAGGGAGTCTGTGTCATGCTCATCTCACGTGTTGTGGTTAGGGGAGTGAGAGAATGAGAAGAGATGGACAACAAGAAGAGGTAGAAGTCTCAAGTGCCTTATTAATCTACATTTTGTGTACATTCACATACAGTTTTAAACCTTTTAAGTACGTTGCCGCCTCCAGGCACTTCTGAAATGGTAACACACAGCACACACACACACACTGCAGAGCTCTAAAACCAGGCAATGAATGCTACCCAACACAGATCAGCTTCCTCCAAGAACTGTTTGTCCATTCCTCTCCATCAGGTTCTAACCTATAGATGTTCCTGTCTTGGAGTTTGTCTCTAAGCAGCATGTCCTCTTGCAGCAGCCCATCTGGTGATGCATGGAGGTTCAGGACATCACTGAAACTAGGCTGAACTCATTCCCTGTTGGATTGCAGCCCCTTTGCTAGGTGTTAATTCTGGGGATCACGTCTAGCAAGGATTAACCACCCTTGACTGTGGTATTTTCCAGCTCAAAGGCTATGACTGATGCCCAAGGAAACACAGAAACTGGGTTTTTTTTTGTTATTTTGGGGTTTTTTTTGGTGAGGAAATGTTCACCATGATTAAACAAACCTTTTATTTTAATCTGGGAGTCTTTTTTAGCTTATTTTCTGACACACCAATGTGGACTTTCCCTGGCTTGTAACCCTGCTTGATGTGGCAGTGTCAGTTAAATTTGTTGGTTCACATTTGGCTGAAAACTTGGTTTGCTAAATGAGTGGTGATATGTTTACATCTCATCTTCAACTTCGATTTACTCCATTGTGCTCAGAAGAAATGCAAGCATACAACCACCATGTCTCAGATTTGGATTCTACTGGCAAATCCTAAATTACTAGTTGAGAAAGCATCACTGTTACCTGTTGGCAGCATAAATGTTACCTCTTCACTTCCTATGTATACATTTTTCACTGTGAAATATGAACTCAGTCTTCCTCCCCTCTTTCTGAACATACCAAAATGCAGTTTTTAATTGAGGCTGACAGAGTATAATTTGGCAGTCTATTTTTACCATTCTGCTGTAAGAAGACTGTGCCTATACACCCTTTGGTAGTCGACATAAACAACCTAGTTCTGACCTGAAATTTTTGTCCTCTGAAAACCAAGACTAAAACTACTTCCTGGAGTTTCTCAAGGGCAGCATTGTGTGTGCATTGGATGGGATGGTACATGAGCATTTGGGAAGTTCTGGGGCTTTTTAATGATGGCTAGATTATATATAAGCTTTTCTATGAAGATTTTGCTCCTATCTATTTTTGGCTAACTGGATTTGCTATGAATTCCTAGCTACTGTAGTACATCAGTACACTTCCTTAGCTTACCTCTTCAGAGGTTATTTGACTGGAAATTCATGTTTGTACACCCAGAAGCTTTTGTCTTTTTAAAGAGCTAGTTGAAGGCTCTGACTGTGGTGTTTCGTTTTGGATTTTTTTTCACTCCCAGATCAAAACATGGGGTGTAGATTTTTCCATTTGAGGTTGTGTGTGTAGGTGCTCTGTAGCTTTTAACATAGCAGGAACCACTGAATGCAAAATGATAACTAAGCCCAGATTGCTTTATTGGGAGAAAGAAAGGCTTGTTTGAGACTTTACAGCTGACATTACAGATATAACAGTTATGCATCATTAATAGCTGATAACATTATTTTAATCTTCATTTGCATGCATGGAGACAATAGCACAAGCAAGGCTATCATTACACTGCAACTTCAGCAGATCATTGTATGACTAAGAGCTTCAATTTAAAATGGCTTCAGAGAGCATGTTGAATAGAAGAATGCAGCTGATCTCCAGCTCTGCTTAGAAAAAACACACTTGCATGAACTGAAAGGAACAATTCAACGTATTAAGAGTTGCCTTTATTACTGCTAGTGACTCAGTTGCTTGCCAGCAGTTGGTGAAGGAATAGAACAGTGCTTACTCTTTCCAGCTCAATTTTATTCAAGTGTTATCACACAAATAAATAATAGCTCCAACTACATCAGCTTTAAATTCAGCTCATTCTAATTAAAAGCACTCTGAAATTTGAGCTCTGCAATACAGAGAGAAACTCTTCTCTTACAGCATCCCAAATCACCTGAAAAAATCTTTACTATTCTAGTCTGTCATCCAAATTTGAGTAAGACATTTAAAATTGCATGATATT